AAAAATAGACATTTAAACTAGAACAACCGGTCATTTCCGTGACTGTAAAGCAGGACTAGGAACCTTCAAACTATTCGCTGTAACACCCGAGCCGCTATGTYAGCGGTGTCACACAGTAAACCTTCCCCTCAGTTCACAACAAACATGGACGGTAGAGTTCGTCGGGGCAGGGGAGGCAGCTGGAAGCGAGGCGGCCGGGGTGGAAACGACGCCGACGGTGAGCCCAGAGGCCGTGGAAGAGGAGGCCACCACCGCGGCCGAGGAAAACGAGACCACCACCGGGGTCGTGGACGAGGAGGAGGTTCCCACGCGGACTTCCCTCAACGGGTGAGACCGTGTCCCATCGGCGACTCCCTCTWTTCCGCCCCACCAAACTTCACTACAAATTTCGAAAATTTGTGTCATTTTTGCCAGTGAACCAAAAAACTCACCCCAAAATGATATTAGAAGTCTTATCAAGTTGTCAACATTTACTCGGCTTTACTAACAAACACTTAATGTGAAGTTTATCAGCTAGTTTTGAGCTTTGTTTGGTAAAATTGCTAAATATTCCCTAAGTAATTATACAGGTGCAAAACCTGAGGATTTGATATGACACCAGAGGCTTTATTCACGAAATGATGATCAGTCAGGTGATGCTCCTGACAGAATTAGAGGAGAAACAATAGGGGCTCCTTTCTTGATTGCAATCATAGGAAGAACTTTTGGTACATAGGGGCTCCTTGATTGCAATCATGAAAATCTCCCTGGTGTATCCATACTTACCATGTGGTCTCTGATGACATGAGAGAGAGAGAGAGGGGGCAAACAATGAACCATTTGTTTTACTTTTTCAAAATGAGAAGAAGATAATATCCACGGTTTAAATCGACTCCCATTTTCATGGCATCATTATGAAAATGTTTGTTTACTAACATGACTGAAATGTACCTAACAAAATTTCCCTGAAGTGTATTTTAGGAACAAAGACACTACTTTTAGAGATACCACACTGTTTATTCTCTRTATTAGGATCTAAGTAAACTTTGATATGGTAGTAGCTGAGAGACCTCCATCAGGCATGCTTTGAGTGCTAACAGATCCACAATAMTTACTCATTTACTAAATTTGACCAAAATGTTTATGACTCTGTCGTATTTCATCATGAAATGATTTTAATTTAAAACTCTGGCATAAAAGGCTGCGTTCTTTTAAACAATATTTAGTTCACTGTGTGTCAAAATAAAAAAATAACATCTTGTACATTGCACCAATCTGTTCTCTTTTAGCACCAAGATGAAGGAGAAATGGTTGAGGATGAGGATGACGGAGCAGAGGTGTTCTCCAGGAGGAAGTTGGAGTCAAACTGGGACCGTTACGAGGAGGCGGAGAGGGCGGAGGAAGATGATGAGACGCCCACCCAGAGAGGAACGGACTACCATGTGCTGCTGGGGTCCTCAGGTGAGACACCTGCAGGGTGCTGGCTCCGCCTCCTGCAGCACCGCTGCTGTCGGTGCTTTTTCTCCTGGCTGTGGTGAAAATAACGCTGCGTCGAGTTGTCGTGTTTTCAACTTGTCTCTGTGCTTTAATTAGTTTTGCTGTCTTGAGGAACTTTAATTGTTCAGAGTCTGATGGCTGCCTTGTTTGCCTTTGCTAATTTCAAGCGGAGTCTGTGTTTGGGCCCCGGGGATCTCCACGGTCTCTCATACTSTTAACATTTCTTTCTCTAGAGGATCATAAGAAAGAGCAGAGTGCTGGCTCATTAGAGCAGAGCTGCAGTTTCATCAGATGGAGTCCTGACCTCGGCAGAACCTATCTCAAAATTAACTCGTGTATCTAGTTGCTGAGTCAACACACACACACACACACACACACACACAC